CTCAGTAAAAAGCCTTTGTGGCAAACAAATGCACCACTTTATCTACAACCTGCCTTCAGAAGCAAAATTCGTAGAAATATAAAAAACAAAAAGATTTTGCAAGCATGTCAGCAAATATGAATCCTGCTGCTAAATTCTGATTGCTTTCTATTCTTGTTTCACACTCACTTTATGAAAAGTTTGAAACCGTTTAAAGGCTGGAACTGATGAACCTATACATAAATGATTAGGAATGCTCCGCTAATAATTTCCAGTAAAACTCATCAGTGAGTTGCCTTGTGAGCACGTCAGTCTCTGCTTTGAATGCTACTTAGACTTGTAAAACCCTTTTATTGAGCTGTCCATTTATTTTTGAAAGTAAATTGTCCGAGTCAGTTCTGTTAACACTGTCACAGATTGTCTTTTTTCGTTGTGGGTTGTATCAGCCTCTGCAGTGATTGCCTGTTGTCTTGGCAAAAAGATGCATTTTGACCGTTACTGTCTGCCAGTGACAATTTTTCCCTTAATTTAGGAATTCCTACTTCTTATAAAGGCCAGCTGGAAGCAGCTAACGCATTACAGCAACTTCCTCAGCTGTTGGCCTTGGGAATATATATTCTCTCCAGAATATATATCTTTGGCAGGGAGCAGAAAGAAGGAATCTTGGGTAACGGGTGTGCATGCCAAGTGAAAGGATTGTTATATTTAACGCCTAGTTTCTGTCCTTGAAATTGTGTCTAAAAGAAGTTCAAAAGTAGGACAAAATTCAAACAGGGTGGGTAGATTTATATATTTTTTTTTTTAAAAGAAACAATGACTTTAAAAAAAAAAATAGCTGTTAACTACCTTTACCCAGGATTTTTTTATTTCCTAATCTTTAGCAGGAATGTTTTACATGTCTTGCTGCTCGAATGATTTTACAGTACTTTTAGGACTGTGTCCAAAATGCACAGATTAACAGCCACATAAAAAAAACCTCTGGCTGTGTATTAGAACATTTAGTCTAAACCTACAAATACAGTTGTCCTATGGGACTTTTTGCTAATCAGCTACATGGCCTTAAACTGTAGGTCATCTGAACAGTCAGAAGTAAAATGCAATTAACCTCTCACAAAAATAAAGTATCCCATGTACAAGACTGACATCTGGGAGGTAGACGGGCTGGGAAGAAGAGCTATAGAAATGTATTCTTCTTTCACTAATAATTAAAACAGTGGGTTTAAATTAGCCTGAGATCTTCTAAATTAATGAAAATGCTACTTATTGGTTTGGAGTGGGCATTTTCTGTAAATCTTATATATGTAATTTTACGTTAATATATATATACATAAACATAAAAAAAAACGAGCAGTTTTTCTTTCTGATTAAATTAACTGCTTAATGTGTAAAATGAAAATATTTTCCTTTTCCTGTAAATTGAAAGCTTTGTTACAGTCTTAAACACCGAAATTACAAAAATATGCAGAACCCATGCAGCTTTATCTACATACCACGAGCACTACCAAAAAACGTGACAGCTGCAACATCCATTGAGAGGTATTTACCTCAGGGTGAATATTTTCAGTGAGAGAAATCCAAAGGTGAGGCAAGCTTGGGAAGCAGTTTTTCAAGAGTCTGCTTCAGCTAGAATGCACATATGCATACACAGTATCTTGAGTATCAAAGTGAGGGTCAGAGGTGTTTCTCCAAAGTGTATCCAGCTGATTTGCAGAAGTGTCTCCTGATGAAATCAGACCAAGTCCACAGCTTTGCAGGGTAAAGAAGCAAAATGTTTTGAATGCTTTTTATCCTCCCATATTCAGTGGCTGCTCTCAGTTACAGCAACACTTTGTGGATGTGTTTGCAGGACAAGTTTGGTTTAAGGCCACTTCATGGAGACAGAAATCTCACTGTTTGTCTGTCTAGCTAGCAAGTTCACTGCTAAATACCACACCTCATGTATGGTTTACCTATTTCGTACTATTTCAAGTTACTTAGAATATAAGATAATGTAGATAAGGGTTAATATAGATATGGTAAAAAGATTTCCAATCAGTGGAATTCTTAATTCTGAAGTCAGACTGCTGCAGCTGCTGCTGATGGTATGTGAACACAGAAGAGCACAGCTTGCCTATCAGATCCCTCATTGATTTTAAAATCCTAATGGTTTAGAAAAATCTTCCTTTGCTTGTAAACTGACCAGGTTGGTTTTGAAAGTTTTGGATTGCAAATCACTGTGGTAGCCTTGCCTCTTCACAGTTTCCCTAAACATCTTACAAGACTTAGTAATAAGTTCCCAGTTTTTAAAAATAAGAATAAAGACACTGTTAAAAGTTAGTTCATTTCTGTGAAAAGAAGATAGAACAGAAGACGAATTATTTCCTGTATGAACTGAGACATTTTATTTAATCATCCTTTGATATCAGTTTCTTTGTATAAAGTTGTGATGTTAATAATTAGGTCAAGCAAGACTAAAATTAATTGTTTGCAAGATCTGTAAGTCTTTGGGTACAAAACTACATTGTAATGCTTCATAACACTCTTGGAAATATCTCACAAAGGCCAGCGGAGGCTCAGTTGTTAAAAGAGTATTACTTCACCAATTAAGATTTTAATGCTGAAACCCAGATGGCTAGGTTGCACCTGCTCATCCTAGAATAGCCAAAGTTTAAGGACAGATAAATTATCGTTAGGAATCTGATGTGCCAGGTCCACCTGCCTGTGTCAGTAGCTGATAAAAGAAGATACCTATATACTACAAGCTCACACATACTCTAACTGTGGTTAATAAACATGCAACTGTTTTACTGAAGGGAAAATATATAATACTGTGTTCAACATTACTCTAAATTAAGATCACCGTGTTAATATTTAAATATTATCTTCATTTTATTAGACATCTCCAACACACTAGCTTCATCATATTGCCTTCATCTTTCCTTCACTCTCACATCTGGTTTTTTTTTGTGTTGTAGTTCTGGGTTTGACTCTTTTTTTTTTTTTTTTTTTGGTTAACTTTGTTATTTCATTGTCTCAATTTCAATTTCATTAAAATATTAAAAAAATAAATCTCTCTGGAGTTATGATGAGAGGAATTCAAGAAGTGGTTAGAATTTTGACCATATTAAGATTGATGTTCTGGCTGCTATTGGTAAAAAAATTGTGTAGGTATATCTGTGATTATTCATATTGACCATGTGCATAATGTGGGCCATTATGGGAAGTCAGATTATTTTAAGCTGCACAGAGGAAAGGCAGAGAACTCAGGAAAAGGAATTCTGCTGAGAGGCTTTTTCTCGTGCAATTTTAAAGCAGTAATCTAAATTCAGAGTTGATGACAGACTTCTACTTTGAAAATACTTCAGTACTAACTGATTTCCCTCCTGCAAACAGCATACTTATTCAAATGTTAAACTGTGGTTGATATTGAACAGACAACTATCTATTTGTAATTTAATATCTTTACATATGTTGGCTCATGCAGGCTGTATCTGATTAAATTAGCAAGGCATAGTTCTTTATTGACTCTGGGGAGTTACTCCCGATATACATCACTGAGAACAGAAGCAAAATCAAGTCCACTTGCTGCCTTTATAGGATGCCAGTGTTTGATTTCATGTGGTTAGAAGTGGAAGTGTGGTTTGGACTTGTTCTGTCCCATGTGAAAACACCCTTCAAGTGTATATCCTGGTCTCTTGTACCTCTCTTGGAATCTTGTGAGTCCGAAAGATAGGAGTCCTACTCTTCTAGATGCACATAGTTGGGTGCAAGCTCTTTATTTCCTCTTTAGCACATGTAAACCTCTTCTGCCATTAACAGTGTTTAAAATGTCACTTGAAAGCACGTAGATAACGAATCTCAGGGGTTAAAAACTCCTTCAGGGTTTCCTACACTGAAAATTTCTTTGTTCTTTGCAGAAAACTATACTTCTTCATTTCCATCTTGAGACAGGATGGTTGCAAAACATCTTTTGTTATAGCACCCTCTCCTTGTATTTCTCTCTCATTTCAATTTTTTTTTTCAACTACTTCTTGAAGCCTTAACAGGAAATATATTCTGGATATATATGTAATTAAGATTTTTTATAACAAAGATATTTTTAGGACTAAGAACCAAAATTTTCAGCCAGAGCTATTATCACTCATTGCAAGAAATTGATTAGTATTTGAAGGTGTCCTCTGCAGTATATTTCCTCAAAACTTACTGAAATGTGTGGGTACTTGGGTCAAAATCATTAGAGGGTAGAAGAAAAATTAAGAGATCTGTAGTTAAAGCAATAGAATGTGTGTGAATGGGCATAAAAGTAATTCATGTCCTAAGAAATTTTGTTCACAAGAAGTCAGTGAAGAGGAAAGCATGGATTTGGGTTTTTCTTGTTTGGAATAGGTTTTGTGTGTATCTGTACAGCACTGCCCAGGTCTTCATTCCAATATACTATGTTGCTGTGACAGAAGTAGAAATTTAGTGGCGTTACAGAGCTCAGGTGTTTTACTTTTTACCTCATTCTCTGTGGCAACAAGCTGGGAGGTTGATTAAAAACTAGACATCTTGTGTCACATGGTGTGTTTCATTTGTGGGACACATGAAAACATGAACGTGTGATGCAAAGACACTGCTCAGTAGAAAGAGCGATTTTGCAATTGTCAATTAATGGCTTACTTAAAAATTCTTCTCTCTGTTAGTGTCTGTGAACATTTTTTTTCCCATCACTTTCACCTCTAATAAGAGTAAATTAGGATATAGATACAGGAGAGCAGCTTCTACTCTCTTCAGGCACATTGCTGTTTCAGTTTCATCACAGGCTCTACGAAATGGGCATTGACAGCAATAGGATACTGGAATCAGTCCTTCACTTAATACTGCAAATTTATTTGTGCTTTTTCTAATTGATTTTCATTCAGCTAACCAAATGGAATTCGGAAACACTGGAATGCTGACTTCTGAAGGAGCAGCCACTGACATCACCTGGACTGGCATTTCACCTTCACGATTATGAAAGGCAAAAACACCTTTCCAATGAATGTGTCTTCTGTGTCTTCCAGTGCTCCGTTACCTGTGGCAAAGGGATGCAGTCCCGAGTCATCCAGTGCATGCACAAGATCACAGGGAGGCACGGCAATGAATGCTTTTCTTCAGAAAAGCCCGCAGCCTACAGACCCTGTCATCTCCACCCCTGCAACGAGAAGATTAACGTTAACACAATAACATCACCCAGGCTAGGTAAGCAGTCAAAATGGCACGTTCCCACTGGAAATCCCTTTTCAGTTCTTTCTCTCTGTACACTAATGGTGCTCTCCGCTTGAAAACAGAAGGCTAGGACTCAGGAGATACTCAGGAGATGTAAATTCTCTGCAGACTCCTGTCACTGCCTCAGTTTTCCTGTGTGTCCATCACAGACTGTACCTCAGAGTGGCAAAGGATTTTTGTTCATCAAGGAATACATTATGAGACTGTACGATATTATGGGCACAAAATATCCCGTGTGAAAATGTATTTATTTTAGAGACACTATAAACATATTTGGGTTTATATATGGTTGTCCATTCAGTTTTATCAAACGTTTCTAAAGCAAAAAAATACCTTCTTTTCTCTTTAAAAACTCCACAAACTATGTTCTCTTGATATTTAACATTTATCATTTAACATGAAGAGATTTACTCTTCCTGGAGGAACTCAAGTTCTCTTTTGTTCTTAAAGAAATTACATTATTGAATAACTACAGAACTGTTAATTCTGTAGTTATTTTCTAATGCACTGTTGATGGTGACTACTGTTGGCTCCCCACATCATTATTCTGCATTTTGACCGTGACTGGGGAATGTTCAAAGGCTTGCTGTATGACAGCATACCCTTTCCAGCTGATTTTCCAGAGCACTTTTTAAGATAAACCTTCCTGTCTAATAGGTTTCTCCTGCATGGAAAACAAGTCCAGCATTTCAGACTGTATGTAATACTTCCCTTAAGTCAGTGAAGGGTATTTCTCTTTGAAGTTTTTAGCCTTTAAACATTTCTGTGTAGCATTTTCTGGATGGGATGGCAGCTGTTGCTCGTGGTGCCCTCTCCTCACTGTTGTAAAGTTCTTTTGTATCTTTCTTTGCTCAACTGGTCTCTCAGAAGCAAGAGGCCATTACTCCATCACTGAAACTTTCCCTCTGGTGAGGTATAAGCAGCTTTGTGTCATGAAGTAAAGTGAATCAGAAAGATTCACAGAAAAAAATCCAGTGTCATATTCGTTAGAATTTGACTTGATGTGGAGTACACAAAAATAGATTGGTCTAATTTGCCCTCATGGAATGGATTATGTAGCACTGATGTTAGTAATCTACTGTCAGTATCATCCAGCATGGAGTCAGAATCCAATCCAACAGAAATATTAACATCTCCAAAATAAATAATGCAATGCTTCTCTTCAACATATTGATAGTTTTGGCCTCCAGTTCCATTCATATTATGCAGTAGAGATCCTTTGGATTTGAGGGTAGGGCTAGTGAAAGCTGATGGGGATTGCACCACCAGCTCTTTCACAAGTGTGCTGTCTGTTTTCTTCTATTAAAATAGGAGTGTGACTTTTATCTGAGATTGATTTCTTTTTTCAGTTCCATGTTTATGATGGATTTTGGACGACATCTTGTTCTTGTGCCCCGTTTTTCAGTTTAATTCAGTTTTCCATTTTAATTCCGTGTATGCAGTAGTACAGCTTGAATAACTGAATGTGCAAAGTTCCAAACTTGGTACTACGGTCCTTCTATGCTTAATCTCTGTGAGAGGCTTCCGTAAGTGAAACAGGACAGTAAGATGGGCTTTACTCACTCATGAGGAGACAGCTGCATGACATTAAACTAATTAAGTTCAACGCAACTTAATCTAATTTGTAAATAAGGATGGCCTTCAAAAATTTTGATGTTGAACATACTGACAGCAGGACCGGGAGGGAGGGGGGTGACGGTGTTGTTTCTTTTATTTAATATCTACATCTATTACCCTTTCCCTTCCCCAGATACACTTCTTGTGCCCTTGTCTCCTTTGCTACCTGATTCTTCACTAGTAAATGCAACAGCGATGTATATTTGATTTTCTGGTTGTTGTTTCACAGCTGCTTTAACATTCAAGTGCCTGGGAGACCAGTGGCCTGTGTACTGCAGAGTGATAAGGGAGAAGAACCTCTGTCAAGACATGAGGTGGTATCAGCGATGCTGTGAGACGTGCAGGGACTTTTATGCGCAAAAAATGCAACAAAAGAGTTGACCTCTGTCAGGCTGGCTGGCCCTCAGCTCTTTGCAATATTATTATTTATAAACACACACACACACACACACACACACACACACACACATACACACACACATGCTTTTTCAGACCAAATATTATCAGATGACATATAATTTAATCAAATTAATTTATTTTTGCCTGCCAGACATCCTTAATGGTTTTGGTTAGATGGCCAACATGTTTTATCCTCTGACATTTTTGTAATTAATTTTTATAAGAACACTTTTGAATGCATTATCAGAATTTTTTTAAAAAAAATAGTAACTAGTATTTTAAATGTTTATTTTCAGTAGGGTCATCTCTGTTGCAAAAAGAAAAAAAAAAGTCATGTTATCTTGAATTTATTTTAATTTAGCTGAATAGTTTTGTTGTATATGGAAATAAAGCCCTTTTTAATTTTATTATATTTTTGGCATTCAGAGTCAGAATGATCTTGTGTATTTTGCAACAGATGTTGAGGTAAGCTAACATTATTGAACAGTTTATTACAGAATGTATTGTGAAATTAGTTCATTTGATTTAGAAACATACTGAAGGGGATATTCTACTGTAACTTATAACATATTATAAACAAAAAAATTAAGATAGCTTAAGTAGAGATTTTGATCATTCTCATGGACACATACTTGAACACAAGTATTGAATCAATGAAACACTGTAGAGATTTACACTGAATCACTGTTGCACTGTTTGAGGTAGTGTAGAGAAATGCAGTCCTAGAACTTGTACCATCCTATGAATCCACGTCTGTACTGTTGTAATACATCACTTGATTTTAAACATTTAAAAAAAAAAAATACAACCCATGCCCCTCTATACCTTTGTGTGTCCTCTTGCAGATTTACAAATGAGAGAATCCTTTCTCCTGCCACTTGTATGAATTAATCTGTTAAACATTCTCAGTTCTCTGTTGATGATTTAGAAAATAGCTTTGTAATACTACTTTAGTTTTATCTTTGTTTAATGAAAAAGTCTTTATAAAAATTAAATGTTTTACAGTTTTGTGAAACATTATGAAACAGCTAAGATTTTCCTTATGAGAAAATATTGTACATGATTCACATGATTTTTAGATTTTCAATAAAAAGTAAAGCTCCTTTTGTTATTTGAATTTTTTCCTCTCTTGGGTACCCGTGTCTGGTAGACGAATCCCTCGAGCCCTGCACTGCAGCAGGTACAGCTCCAGTATAAGTGTCTCCTGCCTCTTGACTTAGGCATCACTCTGCAGCTGCAGGCAGACATGCCACCCTGTGAGCCTTGATATGTGGAATGTTGTTTATAACAGAGTGGAGAGGCAGTTATTTATCTCAGGTGAGTTCTGTAACCACTGAACTTGGAAGGTTGTGATGCAACCCTTTAGTTATACTGTGAAAACGTGTAGGAGAGCAAAAGCTGAAGGCAAGACAGCTGGAGAAATAAGCCAGAAAGGCATCATATTTTCTACTCAAAGCTAAAACAAAATAAGTCTTTACTTGAATGATTGTTACTTTTAATTATCTAGGAAGATCCTGCTGTATAGATGTGATGCAGATATCCACACGATTTAATAAACTGAGACCCCAGTCAGGACAGTGAGTCTATCCAGGCAGAATATTTTAGTGCAGTCTTAAGTCCTGTTGAAGTCAACATATGTGCTTTCAAATAGCTGTGCTATCAAAATCTTTGGTTTGGCATCTTACTGCTGGGCCTTCAAAAACTGCAACTTTAATGAGGTGCTAATGTATGATTTTAAATAAAACATCTTCTGGTTTTAAAAAGTAAAGAAGGAAAGGAAAATAACACTGACATCATGGAATGTGATACTATATTTTGTATAATTAAAAAGTTTCAATGCACAGAAAATTCAGTTGCTTTTGGGCATCACTCCTAAAGTCTAATAGAATTATGGTAGTTGGCAGGCAAAAGAAAATCATTATTTTAAACTTTCTTCATATTTAGCACCCAATCTTGCTAATACTTCTGCACTCACTTGAATCACAACTAAGAATCAAGCTAAAGAAAAGATGTCTCCAGGCTAGGTGCAAGAGGACAATTTTTTTACCAGCCACTGATATCATCCACACTATTCTGCATGTTTGTGGTCTGCTGATTTTGAATATTCCACCAACAGCAATTGTTGGCTTAATCACAACAATTAAAAAGTACATTTTAGCTTTCCCTGTATTGGTCAAAAACAGATGAGTGACTTGTGCTGAACTGATCACTTTACAACAACATGATAAAAAGAAAATACTTTTGGTTGGAACTCAGGGATTTAAAGTTGCAGAGTCAAATGACATTCTTTTTAAATGTGATCACTGAAATCAGGATGTTACAATGGTGATAGTTCTGGTTATTATTCCCTTGGCAACTGTAGTACAAAACTGTTAATTAAATATATGTGAATCATTTTGAAGTGATTTTGTGTATAAATAGCAAATATACCCCTTCCTTCTCTGTATGAATTTGAAAACAAGTTCATTTTCCGATTCTGTATTCTATCATCATTCACAGGAGCAGCACAGACCAAAGTACCCCTTTTGTCAGGGAATTACAAGAACCTTCTGAGAATGTGCCCAGCCTGTGACCTGAGCCCCAGCACGAAGGGGTTCTCTTACCTTGCATATTCCTTGTAGCAGAGGTGTCAGAGAACCTGGATCAGGGTGGACAAAATACATAGGAATCTATGACCAAATAAATATGTTAGATGCTAATAGGTATCTAGGGTGGCAGTCACCTGGGAATTCGGGAAGAACACAATTGGGAAATTACAGAACCACTTGCTATGGTGCCTAAGGTGTCATTCCAAACAGTGTCATTTCTGCCAGAGGACTGGCAGACTGCAGTGTAATTCCTGCCTGTGGCAAAGGGGATCTCCAGGCAATCCTTTGAACTGCAGGTCAGGGAGTCTGGAGTTCCTTTCCTGGTGCTGTGTAATAGCCGATAAAAAAGAGTAAGATCCCCGAGAACCTGGATAAGCATGGACTCAGGAGAGAGTCAGCATGGCTTCAGTTGTGTCCTGAGCAAAGAGGGTTTGGTGGGCACAATCTCTGACAAAGTTCATGACAGGATATTCAAGAAGCTGCATTCACACAGAACTACAGGAGCAATCTCTGTGGTTAAAGCATTGGAAGCAAACTGGTCATCTTCTAGGATGGAGAGAAGTCAGCAGTATGGTTCCCCAAGGAATAATACAGGGTTTAGTTTTTTTGACATTTTCATCCATGGCATGAGAAAGAGAGTGAAAACTGAGTTCTCCAGCTCTGCAGGTGACATTAAGCTCTTCTGTTTAACTGACTGCCGCTTCACTTGGGAAGAAACTCATAGAAGTGAGCAGTTAGACAAGACATTGTCCCATAAATTTTGATGCAGGTAAATATCAACTATTATAGCTATGGAAAATAGCCTAAACTATTCCTACAAGATGCTGAACTTGCAACTGGAAGTTGTAGAGGTGGAGAAAAATCCTGGCATCATTTGTAACCGTGGTCTGAAGTTACTAGCTCTATGAGAATAGCAGGGGGGGAAAAGCACCAAAAACTCTTGCATGTTGTAAGAAGACATATTTTTTCCCAGTTTTGGGACTGTTTTGGAACGACTTGAGCATTGCATTCATTTATGGCTGCTGTGTTCTCATGAACAATGCAGTGGAATTACAGCGTAACACATTGAAAATGGAATGAGCAAAGGAATAGACTAGGTGGCTTACCAGATGAGGCTGAAACTGGAAAGGAAGAGACTAAGATAAACACAGTCGAGGTTTAAAAAATCCTGAAGGTGATGGATAATCTGCATGGGGAGCTCTTCTTTAAATCCTGCAGTACTACTGCAAAGAGTGCATCCTCAATATGACTAGTATGGAAATTAGTTTAAAAGACATAAAAATAAGCACTTTAAGCGATGGTCATGAGGTTCTGAAGTTTGTTTCTAGAGGAGGTAGTATCAGAAGGTTCACAAAGCAATTTATGGACCACAAGTTTATAAATAGATAATAAAAGGCCTGGAAAGAGACACTTTAGCACCAAAAAAATAGTGTGGCTTCTGAGGGAGTAAAAGGAGAATGAGCTGCAGAAAGTTGCCAGGTGTACACTGTCTCCCTAAACGTCATCGATTCTTTCCCTTTCAAACACTGTGATAGATCCTGTGGATCTATCCACCTAATAAGGTGGTTTTTACCTCCTTATGTCATGTCTAATGAAACAAAGTAGTGTTGGTATGTAAATTCACGCAGCTGCACACCCACATTACGTGCTGCAGTAGCACAGAAAAATCTTGTGTTTAGAGAGATACTGGAAAGTCTATCCACGTTAAAGAAAGAAGTAATGGTTGTATATACCCACCTATTATAGAACACAAATTGTTCCTGTCTGCACAGGGAAAAAAGTGAGAACCACATGTCATGGCAAGTCTAAAACAGCAGCTTCATGGTAATCCCCAGAGTACGCTGGAAAGGTGTATTGGTGTTTCAGGGTTCGTTGCACAGGGGAGTCGTAGATGTAAATATAGCAGCAGGTTCCCCAGAAGCATGCATGTCCACTCAGAAACACAGTCACTACTGTCTCTTTGGTGGCTGCTCACAGGTACTTACTGGAGCATCTACTTGAAAGGTGGCGGAATAATAACTTTAAATGGATATGCCGTAAAATAATCTACAATAAATACGTGCAAGGAAAAATCATGAGTTTTCAAAGTAGATAAGGATTTTAACTTTTTATAGATATATATCAAAGTATTCATTTATTACATCACGATTTAAAAAAATATATATTTTTCTTGGTTTTGTTTTCTTTTTATAGTCCCAACAATTTTCTGTGCAGAAAATAGATTGGTTTGATTCTCTGGTCTAAGTACAAGACTAAAAGCTTTGTGATGCCCTAATTCTCAGCACAAGTTTGATCTAAAACAGGTTTTCCTGGATTTCAAGCAATGAACTTTCAAAAGCTTATCCTCTGCAGCAGGGTCATCAGAAATGAAACATATCCTAGGGAAACATAAAGGTCTGAAGAAAAGGTTAAAATAAAAAGAGAAGGCAGCTTTTGCTAGTTGTATGTAGTAGCCATAATGAAAAGGGGCATTTCTTTAGCTGAAAGTCAAAAGGACTTAAAACTCCTAAAATTATGATGAAAATATCAAATCTCAAAATAAAATAATAGAAGTGAAGGGGCTGAGACTACACTATTTAAGTAATTTAAATAGGTTTTTTTCCCTCTCACTTGAACGGGGGCAGAATCAATTCCCTGAAAACTTCTGTTATCAATTACTTGAAACACTCTAATATTTCCCAGGGTCAGGAATAATTTACTGTGAAAGAAATCCCTGAACTTAAAAAAGTTCACGTTATAGCTGTCATGGTAAATGGTACCAAGCCACACAGCACAAAGGAGCCTCTTGGTACTGCCACAGAAAAGGAAGACTTGCTTTGGACTGGGAGCTGCTTCTAATTTTCTAAGGGGGAAAAAAAAAGGTTACTTTGAAGTATTGTAGGCTTGGCATTTTTGGCAGATCACTTGAGGAAGTGCTGGTATGCATTTAAGTGTCTTATGCATCTCCTCACTGGTACTCTGTTAGTTTTAATGAGCACATGTGTATCTATCAAAATAGACCTTGAACCTGAAAAACTTAAGCTGGGCACTTAGAGAAACTTGTCCTGTCTGCTCTGCCGCTTCTAAACAATCTTTTATCATTGGTAGATGATATAAGTGAGCCTGACACCAAACAGGGGTCAGATACAGTTTCAGGAAACTGTCCTATCCTTCTTCACGTCATTAATAATAGAAAGAGCATGCACAGCCAGGAAGCAGAAGCTGGGGTGAGGCTGTTTTCGTTGTTACTCTACAGCACAGAAACATGGACCTCTCCGTTTTGCCAAACAACAACCATCCTGATAAATTCCTGCAACTGGAGGTGAAGTCTTTGGAGAAAAGCCCCACCTGTCTGCAAGCCAGCTGGGCAAAATTCCCAGAAGCAGCTTTACCTGGAGTGCAGCGGTGGCACAACAGAGTCTATTTACAGGTAAGGTCTATAAGAGGCTGCGGTTTTTCCTGATTTTTCTACCTTGTTTTAAGGATCAGGACACAAATGTTGTGAGGTTAAGACATCAGCTGTGGTTTCAGCTTCCTGCATCTATTAATCTGCATCACTAATTTCCCTGTAAGTTTTCCCATTGACTTTGGTGAGGATCAGGCTCCATGAGAAGTTTTACTCTCTTCAGGGAGGGATCCACTGACATTTCAGTATATTAGGCTCTTTATAACATTTTCATAGCATTTCCCTAAAAGTCTACTGAAGTCAAATACCAATTAATTATACTAAAAGGGTGCATTCAATGCGTTCTCTGAAGAAGCAAGAAAAAAGACAGACTTCAAATTGAAAGTCAGATCATATTCCTATCCCTCAAACTCAGTGAAAAGACACATTAGAAAGAGCATTAGAGATTCTTGCTCCAAATTTATATAAGTTCAACATAGCTTCCTTTTTATTTTGCCTTGTTTTCCTCATTGTACTTTGACCTTCCCCTTATACTGAAAGACAGCTGTTGGAAGTGTGAAACACACTGACTGCATTAATCTAGGTTATTATATAGAGGTAGCAGCAATTTCTTGGTAAAAATGTAAATGTGCATTGCCTAGCAGAGGCCCTGGAGCTGGCAGAGGAGAAGTTCATGTCTGGATCAGCAGCAGTACAGCTGCATCAGCTCACACCCCTCTGGGCCCCACTCGCTGCTCCACAGTGCTCCTTTCCTGCTGCTCGGGGAGCCCCTCGCCTTTCCCCACCCCTAGCATGAGCAAAAGCTCCAAGGTCTGTTTCTTGTCAAGAGATGGAGACATACATAAGGTGGGGGGGGGATGGAGAAGGGTCTGCATCCCGAGGATGCTTTGTGTGGCAGTCCAATTCCCCAGGGGAATGAGGAGTAGGAGCCAAAAAAACGTGAACCTGGGGAAAGGAATGAGAAAGAGGCTTAAAGTCTCCCACAGCTACTTCCTGTTGCACTTCTCCCCTCTTAGACATTTCTCCCCATCAGCTCCGCAAACTCCTTTGCTCCCTCTCGGAGCCCGTTCCAGTCCTCCTCCACTTGCAAAAGTCCTCCCGCTCCTGCTCCGCTCCGCTTTACTTTCCCTAGCTTCTTCCCCACCCCAGACACCCTTCCCTTTGCCTACTCCAGTGCCTCCAGCCATCTCTGCTCGTGTTGTATAATCTTTGTTGGCGACTCCCCAGGGAGAGCTGGGGCGGGGGAACACACGGTCGCCCGTAGCCTCCCATGCAAACAGCCCTAACCGAGGGACGGAGCCTGAAGGATCCCAAACAATAGGGTATGGTGCAATGCTGGCCACACTCCCCCCCTCCTCATACCCCTTCCCCCCTAAGCCCCTCTTTTGTGCAGGATAGAGGCAGCCACACACAGAGCCTCCTCCGCAGCAGGGATCCTTCTTCCCATTGTTGTCAAACAGAACGCACTGTCACCGAGCCAAGGGCTGCAGAGCTGCGGGAGGATTAAAAATGTGTGGGGAGCCCTGTGCTTTTTGACTTGTGCTCTGCTCTTTGCCACCAGCGAGAAGGTTTTCCTGGAACTCTGTTCCCAGCCCCGGGATGGCTGTTTCAAAGGAAATGTCTGTACTCACCATGTCTCCAGAAACGGAGTTTGCAATGTGGTATGTTCTGTAAATGTTAAACCAAAGACACAACCTATATTTTTTTTTTAAGTGTAGTCAGTAGTGAATTCAAGGTGCTCAGATAGAAATCATTGTGCCTTATTTTTTTCTGCCTTAAGGGCTCGCCTCCTTTTCCCCCTTTTGCTGACAATCAAATAAAGGGAAAAGTACTGATGAGTTCCAGACCCTAGAATAAACACGATGGCACAGTGGAGAACTAATGGCACAGGAATAACATGTTTTGCTTTAAGATGAGAGAGCAATGAGGTTAAGGGTTAGTTAATTCAGAAACGGAAAAAGGGGAGGGGGGTGGAGGAGGGAGAATTAATTTCGGAACATATGTGCATGATCTAAAGATTCCCAAAGTCATTAAACCTTCAGAGTAGCCCAAATTCTCCCTTCAAAAGTTAATTTTATTTTAAGAAACTAAAGCCACTCAGGACTCCCTGTGCAAAGTGACTTCTCAGTGGTGTGTTTGTCCTCTTCCAGACCTTTATTATGAGATCTCTTAAATTCAAATGCACTTAAGTGCCTATGTGTTTTCTCTACCTATAAGTTTTAAAATTTGTTTCCATTACAAAAAGTAGCTTGATGTAAAGACAAAAAGCTGCTGCTTTTTCTTTGCACTTTCCACTTTCGTATCAGGAAAACTAAACAGCTTCCCTGCTTAGTATGTATTTTCCTTGTCTACCTTGACTAAACCAAACCATGAAGAAATCCAGGAATCTCGACCCTTCCTTGTGAAAAGCAGCATAAAAAGCACAGACTTTCTCTTGTAAATGGATAGCTGCTGGCCACATTCTGAACACCCTGAAAATTTCCAGTCCCAGTGGGCTCTCTGCCCCACAATATGTTTTAATGCACAGTGTACACCAAATAATCCCCTATATCTGTTTCTGATAGCCAGATTGCATGTGTACCCTACAGCTAACCTGGCAATTTTCTGCAATTCTCGGACTTCTCTTTCTTGCCCATATTTCCCTCTTTTCCCTGTTTTTGGAAAACAGCACAGAGCACTTAGTCTTTGAGCAGCATGCTACTTCTTGGCATGGTGCTCTTTCGGCCTGCTGGTGTTACATCTCACTTAATACCTGTGTCTTGCCTTTGCTTGTATCTCACTGTACCAGCACAAGAGATTTTTTTTTTTTTTATCTACAAGATAGGTAGCAGGTTAGACTCACTTCATTGTCTCCTGGCTCACAAGTTCATTACGTATTCCCACTCTCTCCCGTGTTCTTCCCCAGACATCTGCAACTGGTCGCTACGAGAGCCAGCTGAAAGGTTGGCAGGAGCTTTGGTCTGAGACTGTACAGAAGTTTTTATGTGATGCACTCACAACCCTGCAGAACTCCATTACCAGTGACAGATAGAACACCTTTTTTTAAGGGAACAATTCATTGCAAGGAGAGAAGTAGTCCCAATGGTACACGTTAAAACAGTCCATGTGAATGCCTGCTTTTCTCTAAATATCCCTGTCACACTAGCTTAAGTGATTAACAACCGCCTACTGATCTCTCTCCTATTCATATCTGGTGACTTCCCAGGTTGTTTTGTAGTACCTGGGGCTGCCTTGATATCTCCGGCAAACAATCCAGATCCCTTCATTTCTTTCTACAAGAAAACTTTCATCCTAGAATCACAGAAATATAGAATGGTTTGAGTTGGAAGGGACCTTAAAGATCACCTAGTTCCAACCCTCCTGCCATGGGTAGGGACATCTTGCACTAAAAGAGGTGGCTTCAAGGCCCCATCCACTTCGGCCTTGAACACTTCCAGGGATGGGACACCCACAGCTTCTCTGGGCAAGCTGTGCCACTGTCGCATCACCCTCAGAGGGAAGAATTTCTTCCTAATATCTAGTCTAAACCTGCTCTCTTTCAGCTTAAAGCCATACCCCTATCATTGAAAAGAGTCTCTCTCCAGCTTTCTTGTCAGCCCCTGTAGGTACTGGGAGGCAGCAACATAAACTCCCTATAGCTTCTCTTCTCCATGCTGAACAACCCAAGCTCTCAAGCTGTCTTCACAGGAGAGGTGCTCCAGCCCTCTGATCATCTTCATGGCCCTCCTCTGGACCCACTCTTCATTCTCAGGAATACTTATGTGAGCTGTATGCCCTACTGTCTTTCGTATCTCCTTACCTACACCTGGTTACTCCTTGTCGACCCAATTGCTTTTCCACAGCATCCTTTATGAGATCAGATTGGCTGAAAATATTCTAAACTGCTAATAATTATTCCTCATAAGAGATAAGCTTTTTTATTGTCCAAATTTCTACCAATGCCTTTGCAGTTGTTACAACTATCCGAGGGATTCTTGGTTACACCCTAGCAACTTTTTGTCTTTCAGACCTTTTTCTGCCTTCATGCAGGTCTTTAAATCAGAAAAATGCCCTTCCAAGTGCTGAGAGAGTCCTCCAGGATGTGTTGCAAGGCTTTTACATAACAGAGGGTTATAGTATTTAACAAATTACTATCAAACATAATAATCACCCTTGCTACCCACCTTCACTAGGATTGAGGAGGCTGTTACAAAACAAACCCTGGAATATTTTCTTTCTATAAGTTTCTTTAGCCTCCCCTGGTTAAAACTTCTAGGTATAGGTGGCCATCAACAGCATTTCTCTCTGTCATTGAGCATCTTTCACAATACCAGGTGGAGACCAGGACTGGCCACCAGACAAGAGGAACTGACTTCTCTTTGAGGGGTGAGGAAAGAAAAATCTGACTTCCAGGAAGTAAATTTCCTTTATTTTTTAAGTGTCTCTTTGTTCTCTTCCTTCAGGTAAGATAGGCTTGAAAACAAGGCCTAACCTTAACTGTTGATGTCCTGGTTTTGGTGGGTGATGTCTCATATCACAGACTGAGGAAAGAGTCATGAGGTTCTTAGGTTGTTCCAGTGCTAACAGCAACAGCAGAGGGAATGAGAGGATAAAGTCAAGACAAAAATGAGATTAAAAATATTTCCTAGTAACAAAGATTAAATTATAATTTTAATTATATGTACTGTAATGAATTTATATGCTTAAGTCACATTATGAAATAATCAGCAAGAAAGAAAATGCAGAGCAAGCACATGTCGATTCAGTAATGGAACTAACATTGACTCTCTATTGATCTTTGGGCTTTTTACAGAATACTAATTTTGTACATGCCAGCTCTCCGAGTCTGTCAAAGAGGTACAAACTGTTCTCAGTGAAACATGAGTTGTAAACCATAATAGCTTTCTTGCTCATGAGCTATATGTAGATCAAACACAGTTATGTGTTTGCAGAGTTAAGCATTTTTCATCTTGTTAAATGACTATTTTGTCAACACATTTCATCTATAGTTTCTCAGTGTTCTTCCTAGTTAGTGCTTGAATATTTGCTGTTCAGCCCTTCCATTCAGTAAATAATAACATAAATTGCCTCTGATTTGTTCTATTCCGCCCTAATTCATACTGACTGCTTAGAGTCAGTATATATTGTACGAATTTTGCAACAAATACCTAAATTTACAGTACTTTTGTGTTTCTTTGAACATTTGCTTCATTAATCAGAATCAAAACACAGAAGTCTGTGACAATGGTTGGGACACGATTTACATCTCAGAAGAAAAAATAAAGGAGTTTTTGCAAGCATGTTTTTATTATCTAATCTTATGTTTCTCTGCTTCTATACATGCTAATGTTTAATGCAATCTTCTTTATAATTCTCTGTATGATTTCTTAGACCTAAAACTTTTTTTATGTCCTTCAGGCTCCTGTCCTTTCTCTTCCCTATCCAGTCTCTAGGACATGGTTTTACAACCAAGCATTGCTTGTACTTTGGTATATTCTCCTGATTAGCCTGTCATTTCAATGTCTGTTCTCTAAAACTTCTGTAAACTATATCCTATCCTAAATTCCAGTCCAGTTCTCATAGTAAAACCCTGTTGCTCATCTCAGTCTATTCTCTCTCTACCTCTGCTCCAAGCTACCACATTCTTCTATTCTCATGCCTATGAAAAGAAAGGTACTCCAGACAGAAGGGGCAAAAAGTTTTGCCACAAAGCCCTCTCTTTATGAAAAAAATGTGCATCATGCCATCTCTTCCAAGTTTGGAAGAGAATTTAATTTAAAACAGCTTTAGAAATTACTGTCAAGTCACATTCTTTTCACAACATTTTAGCCTACGGAGACCAAACATCCCCTGGTGACACAGTTCGCGTTCTTCAACAAAATGTTCTCCAAGTTCAACTATCTAGCAAGCCTGAGGGAAGAATCATTAAGGTCAATGACAAATTTTAAACAAGAAATAAAATAAATAAAATAAAATGCAGTCAGAAAGAAAAGGCAGTTAAAAAACACCAGTTCAGCTGAAATTTGACCAGTACAGCCCAGAGGGCTTCGGTGCCAGCTGTAACTGCAATGCAAAGAGCAGTATTGTCAAGGGAGATGTGAAGGCTAAGGAACAACATGTGGAAATTATGAACTAACAGAGGGACAGGAGGTCACTGAGGATCCACCCGCCTACTAATGGCAATTATTGATGGGAAGCATGTTTAGTCACTTCTGCAGGATTTAGTGATACTAATGCCAGCGTGATGCTTCCTCCTAGGGTTTCTTAGAAAAACTCTGTTGTTTTCTTTTCTCCACCTTCACTTTCTGAAGGAAACCAGTCCTCATGGATCCTTCTACACCTGTCTGCCCCAGACACCCCAGACATGTCTGTGGATGAACAGACCCTGCAGTCATTAGGTAGGTGATGACACGCAGTGGCTAACTTCCACTGAAAGTGGATTCACCAGCACAAAAAAGGGGCAGAAAGTTACTCAAGCAGAAGAAGCCAGCAGTTTGCTATCATCTTAGGGACCTGCACTGACTGATGTGGGACCTGAGCAGCTTCCAGAGCCAGTGTGCAGGAGATCAGATTCCCTGGGCTCCCACCGGAAAGGTGGAAGGAGAAGCAAGACATGCCCCTAGCCCTTTTGCAGCTCAAGTCCAGCCTGTGGTACTTTCGCAGCTGGAGATCTCCACAGAAGTGAAATAATCTGGGAAAGACATCCTTGCACAGAAGTAAGTTTCTCAGGACCCAGCTTGGTTGTTTATTATGTGCACTTAACTTATGTGAGTCTTGTAGCAGGTGCTGCCCAGACCTTTGTGATTTCTGTGAGTGGGAGAGGGCTGGGGAGTGCCCCCTGCCCAGCACACCTTACTCAGGGACACTGGGACAGGCCAAGGATCCCCTTGTCTCAGCACGAGGTTTGTAAGGACAAAGGTGCTAATGGGGAAGGATGAATTTGCACAGTGGTTGTTCTGTAGAAGCAGCCCTGAGAGAGGGGAGGGGTGTCAGTGGAGGGCAAGGGCTCTACCAGGAGCAGGTCTCTCAGGAAGTTGTCACATGATGGAACAGCAGATCAGTGACAGGTAAATTCAAAGTTTCTTAGACAGAAGGTTGTGGTGAACCAAAGTGTTGAACAGTTTGAGTTGGAGAGTCTGATTGCATTCCTCCATGCAATTACAGATTGAAAAATACAGTAGCTACCATCCTACTGACCCCTAAAAAGGCTCTTAATGCTGTTTTAAGAAGCAGCTTGCGAGTTCTCAAACAGTGCAATCCCACCAGGGTTGTTCATCCTGCTCCTTTGTCACCCACATGTTCTAAAAGGTCTGATTTAACATCTTTTGTGGCTGGGAGGCTGCTCAGGTATTTAATTACCTGTGAGTCCTGACATTGCCCAAAATAAGGACTTTCCCTCAGTTGAATGAAGAGCCTCTTTGACATCCTGGCACAGGTCTATCATTCAACAGCATGAACAGAACTGCTAATTATGCCCTGCTGCCAGAGGTGTGATTCCAGTCGAGGCTGTCATTTATACACTGCTACCCCCGTGTTTCATTCTGCTTTGTCCTTACAGCTCTGTTTCTGCATCATACATCCATGGCTTTCATCAGAACTGCATGTTCTACTGTATTGCTCCACAGCACTGTTTCGCTAAAGCAGAGGCTTTCTTTCAGCAGGTGTTGTGTCAGTCCATGTTTGCAAAAGAACTTAAAGTTGTACCCACCTGCGTGCCCCAGAAGGAAAAAATCTGCACAAAGTGAGCAGTCGGACTACTTTACTGCACTATAGATGTTTGCCAGAATGAGAAAAACTGTTGCATGTGTAATTTTAAAAATTATTCTGCTGTATTATGAATGATAATTCTGGAAGGGCGCCTGCATTGTAGGTAAATGAAGATGAAAGCCAGCTTCTGATCTAACTTGTGCCTTACAGAGAGAAAAAAGAGCTGTCACTGAGCTGCCAGGCTTAGACTTGAACAGGGTCAGTCAAGAAATGATAGACAAAGCCCTGGGGAAACACATTACACCCGTCACCCTGAAATCCACAATCAAAAGAAACCCGCTGTATAGTGACATCCAGGTGGACAACGACTGGGAGGAGAAGAGAAAAAACCCTTCCTGGACCGTGCAGGACTATGACAGACACTCGCTGCACTCTAACCTGGCCAGCCACATAAAGGTAATGCACTGCTGAGCTGAGCTGGAGCAAACTGAACTGCTGTGGGCTGTGTTGTGCATGCATGAACCATGTTCATGAGGCCTGTTCAGCCCGCCCGGTCCTTTTGGTGGAATTCCAGAGGTAAATATGGAGGTATTTCTCTGGTACAGACATGACACTAACATGAGTCTGATCAGGAAAGGAAGTCTGCGCATCTGGTGAGACTCCAGGAATTTCAACGCTGCAGAACATGATCTCTGACTTAAAGAAAGTCTTAAACCACAACACTATGCAACTGAGCTTCCCTATTTATATAGGGAAGACCTATAAATGTGGCTCTTAAATACTATATAGCCACTTTAATAACTGTTCATAGCAAAATTCTGTTATCAAATTACATACACTTTCTGAGCCTCATCCACACTATGCAGGATCCTTCCTGCCTGTGGGTTGGCACAAACCATTTTTAGGATTACATTTGTAAGCTTTTTTTCCTGCTTTTCCACTTTTGGGAAAGAGAGTCAGATCTGTGTTTATTACAATGACATCTCTTCCTGAGAAGGCAGCATGGTTTGTTCTAGGTTTTTTGATCACATTTCAATAGCTGGTGTCCTACATTTGGTTCCTGGATGAAAAGTGTGGTTTTAATTTTCCCCAGTGGAACATTTGCAGCATCTGGCAAGTAGCACAACCTACGTTCAAGTGAAAGTGTCTTACATATGTGCTGTGATGTCTTAAATTCATTAATCAGTATCTGATGATAGCCAAAATACTTCTGGGTATGTTCTAATGACTTTATGTGCAACAGAGACAAACTGAGTTTATTTTCTGATTTTTCTTCTAGGAAAATCCTAATGACCTACGGTTCTGGATGGGGGATATTTATACTCCTGGGTATGATACCTTGTTAAAAAAGAAAGAGAGAGAAAAAAAGCATTCCAAATATTGCCGAATCATCCTGATCATGGTACTAGCTGTTTGCATCCTAATTACCATAGTCACACTCAGTGTTTTACTTGCTTAGTATAGCCAAATGGTGTTGATGGGAATTTTTTTCCAATAAATATTTTTAATGAAGTATTCCCCTCCCTTGTTTTATTTGAATTCTATTTTATCCTTTTTTTTTTTTTTTTTTGTCACAAATACAATTTGTTTGACAACACTACTTTAAAAAATTCCTGTGCAGCATAAGGAATTGATACTGAAACATGGAACATCTGAACATGGTTGACTATCATAAACTGGAACAACATTTGTGAAGTACTAGACTATAAACTTGAATTAAAATACACTTTAAAAATATTCAATAGAATATTTTCAATATTTAATAGATATTATAGAGCCAGGCTGTGAAAAATTATGTTTGCAAATAAAAGGAACAAGGTTAAATGTTAAGGGCACACAGACAATTAAGTTCATACATCTCAGAATAATTCAGGATAATGAAAACATTAGATAAAACGACAAAATAAAAAGTGAGTGAATAGAGAGACAAGTACTTCAAATAGTTATTTTCTTTCTGAAAAATACTCTGGGAGCTGCAAATCCTTTATACCTCTGTATTTGCTATCTAAGGAGCTATGAAGGGATCTCCCTTACTCACACAAGAGAATCTCACAGGTGCCTGGAAGCTGGAAAATTTGGGTTATACCAGTTCTACTTCTTGTCCCACAAAATAAAACGCTCTGGAGTAGGCCAGGAATAGGACCAAGGTAGAGGGTTTGTACTGTCCCCTCTGAATTCTAGAATGTGCCCTCCTTACAGCAGGTTTACAGTGGTTTAACTCATGTCAAGATGGATTTGTCTTCAGAAAAGTGCATTCAATTCCTTCCTTCTCATTTGGTCCCTGTTTGATTTTTGTTTGTGCTGTAACTACTTGGACCCTAGTCTAGCTTGTACCATAACTGGTTTGAAGGTTCATGGTAAAAAAAACCTTACTGCTTTAGCCTGGTGAGCAGCCAACAGCAAAAGAGTAGCAGCATTTAAATACACGTGCATAAAATTAGTATTCCTGTTACAAAATTGGACATTGGTGTAAATATACACGGAAACTTAATCTCCTGCCTTGCTGCAGTTTCAGTGCAGTTGGGGGTTCTTGCCTGAAAGATCAGGCCCATACGGCTTATGAAAGTAAGAACTTGGGATTATTTTACAAGACTAATCGCTGACATTATGAAGTAACTACTTGCATTAAACCAACAATACTTGACTTTTTTCAAGCCCAAGTACATTTGCTTTAAGTGCACACAATGCAGAGACGTACATTTGTAAATTATTGAGGCCTGCAGGCGGGAAGCCTAAAAGCAAAGGTCTCTGTAATTTCCAGGAAAACAGCCAATAGTACGAGTTTCTTGACTGTATTACTCTCTGAGGGTTTAGCAAAAAAGGATAAAATAGTTTTCTCCAGAAGTCCATTACGGGATGCTCCACTCCGGTTTCGCTGCTGTCACCTAGCGGAGAGCCAGGAAAGAGGGAAAACGTGTCAGGCACGGAGATGCCGGTTTGGGCTAATTTCCTTTCTTTCTGTGTGTGTCTGTGTGTGTTTGGTGGTGGTGTTGGTTGGTTTGGTTTGGTTTGGTCAGGGGGGGCAGGGGGTTGTGTTTTGTTTTGTTGTTTTGTTTGGTTCGGTTTGTGGTTTTTTTTGTTGTTGTTTTTTTGTTTGGTTGGGTTTTTTTGTGAATTTTTTTGTGGTTTGTTTTTGGTTTTGTTTTTGGTTTTGTTTTTGTTGGGTTTTGTTTGTTTGTTTGTGTTTTTTTGTTTGGTTGGGTTTTTTTGTGAATTTTTTTTGTGGTTTGTTTTTGGTTTTGTTTTTGTTTTTGTTGGTTTTTTTTGTTTGTTTGTTTGGTTGGTTGGTTGGGTTTTTTTGTGAATTTTTTTGTGGTTTGTTTTTTGTTTTGTTTTTGGTTTGTTTTTGTTGGTTTTTGTTTGTTGGTTTGGTTTTTTGTTTTTGTTTTTGTTTTTTTTTTGGTTTTTTCTTTTTTTTTTTCTGGGTTGTTGTTTTTTTGGGTTTTTTTTTTTTGGCGGTGAGGAGGGGTGAGGGCTGCCAGGTGTTTTCACTCTCCTGTCCCGGCGCTGCGATGCGGGCTCCTCTGGTGACCCCTCGTGGCAGAGCGCTGCGGGCGGACGGAGGGGCTCGGCGGGATGAGATTCCCTGCGGGAGCGCCTGCAGGAAAAAAGGGGCTTGCCGCTGCGCCCTTCAGAGCATCGTCTGTCTGAATGCGAGCCGTGCTCTAGGGGTTGAGAAAATAAACAACACTTGAATACTTGGAGGGGAAAAAACACCCCAGAGTCAACAAAGACCTCTCTTCATGGGGCGGGGGGGGGGAGTGGTGGAGCCACAGAATCTTTTGTACCATTTGTTTACTCTGAAAACAATTAGGAAGACAACCCGTCTTTAACTACTTGATGCAGTGTAAGCTTACACGTGCTGCAAAAAATAATTTAATTTTTTGGTTGGCAAGGTTGCTTTGTGTTGTCTCTTTTATTGTGTGAGGTTTTTTTGCTTTTGTTGGTTCTGGTAGATTTTTTTTTTTTTAATTCATTAGTAACAGGGACTGAAGACACCACACAACACTCATAATAAACTAGGATCAGGATTAGTGTTTGGAGAACAGAATGTTTAGTGTATTCCAAAAGTGCTTTAAAAAGCATGAGAAAAGAAGGCTTGGGGAGAACTTCTTGCTCTCTACAACTGAAAGGAAGTTGTAGACAGGTGGGGGTCTGTGGAGGTCTATCACAGAATATGCTGAGTTGGAAGGCACCCAGGAGGATCATTTAATGCTACTCCTGGTCCTGTGCAGGACACCCCAAGAGTCACACCCCGTGCCTGACAGTATCGTCCAAACACTTCTTGAACTCTGTCAGGCTTGGTGCTGTGACCTCTGCCCTGGGCAGCCTGTTCAGTGCCCAACCACCCTCTGAGGGAAGAACCTTTTTCTAATATTTGATCTAAACCTCCCCTGACACAACTTTCCTTGGGTCCTGTCCCTGGTCACCACAGAGAAGAGATCAGTGCCTGCCTCTCCTCTTCCCCTCACAAGGAAGTTGTAACTGCCTTAAGTTTTCTTCTCTTCTCCAGGCTGAACAGATCAAGTGTCGTCAGACTTCTCACACAGCTTCCCCTCAAGGCCCTTCACCATCCTCTTTTCCTCCTTTGGACACTCTCTAGCAGCTTCAAATCTTTCTTATATTGAGGTGCCCCAAACTGCACACAATAAGGCCACCCCACCCAGGTCAGAACAGAGCAGAACAATCCCCTCCCTCGACTGACTGTGAATTCTTTGCCTAATGCCCCCAGGACAGGGTTGACCCTTCTGGCTGCCAGGGCACTGCTGACTCATTTTTAACTTGCCCTTGACCAGGACCCCCAGGGCCCTTTCTGCAGGCTGAGGGAAACTTTGACTTCAATAAGACTTAAACAGGTGCTTAAAGATAAGAAAGCAGTCAAATTTGCATCAGGAAAGAAACAAATCTGGATGTAAGTTTAATATTTTTATTCTAATGGTAATCAGCTCAAGTAGCAGCAAAGTCTCCTATTTAAGTCAGTACAAACTTAACATATAACACCAAGTTGATATATCAGTATCTTACCAGCACCTATTGCATGGGACAAGGGTATAACTGTGGTAGAATACTACCTTTTGCTCAGAAAACTGGCATTTGTAGCGACAGATAGTAGGAATTTACTCTTATAAACTGCACAGTAGCAACCTGGAAGTAAGAGTACTTGTTCATGCAGATTCTTCCCACTTACAGTTGCACTGGCAGGTAGTGTATTTCACAACTGATTTCAGAGAAATTAACTTTTTTCTCTTCAGTAAGTAAGGATTAGCTTTCAAAACTGCCAAAGAAGATTTTTTAATGACTTCTAGTACAACTACTCTCCCAAATGACTAGAGCACTTCAGAAGATTCTGTTGAGGAAATTCTCAACTTGCCTCTTTCTTTGCGGTATTTTTCCCATCCTAAAAGTGTCCAGAAATATACAACTGAATTCTCACATTATCTGGTTTTGGCCTGTAAAGGTGCTGAAAAAAAACTCCTGGCACTCCGACAGGCCCAATTTGGGAAAATTACAGCTACCGCTCCCCTCCAGTAAAGAACAGAGCTGACCCATGGAAAGGATCTTGCAGGGCTTGTTGCTTTAGCAGGGTACATGTTTTAAGTTTCCACCTTAATTTTTTTCTTCTGTCAATGCACTCATTACACAAAACAAGATCTATAACAGAAAAACAGGAGGGGAAGAGACATTTTTGAGTTTGCCACGAGTAAAGTTACTTTGGTCACATCAGGATTTGAAAAAGAAAGATGCAGTATGAATTGTGAATTTTCATACATTACAAAGTTCTCTGGGTAGAGCAGAAGTTACTTGTTCAGTCATGATATGCCCCTCTGTGAGTGCTGAATGAATAACCATAATAGCAGAACCTGTGCAGATGCTGAACATCTCTGCTATCTATCACTGAGAGGTCAGGAAGGTCTGCCACAAACTCCTCTACCCAAGAAGAATGTCCTACTGATTAGTTTAGAGATGTTTTCAAGCAGACCAAACTACCATATCCACTCCAAGGATCACGGTTATGCTCCTGTAAACTGAATAATTCACTGAAACACAAATTTATGGGGAACCTAGTCAGATGAACTAAGCATCAGACAGCCATCCAGCACAATAAATGTGACGCTTCTGTCAGCTCTTTTCTCATGTGATTTTACTGGTTAGAAAATGCATCTAGATTTAAAAAGCTAGAACATTTGTAACAGAAGGTGTATCACCTCTTTATGGCACAAGATACATTTTAAAAGTATCCAGAACCCAGTATTTTTGGAGGATTACACTTTCTGTTGTAACAACAACACTTCCTCCTATATAGGTTCCTTCATAAAAAAATGCCTTTTGCACGAGCTAATAGTTTTTGTTTGATTGGTTTGGTGTTTGTTTGTTTGTTTGTTTGTTTTAGAATTTCCTGGACAAAGAAGGATACAAATCCAGAGCCCTTCTGTAGATTCACAGTTCTGCTGTGGCCTC